CGGGCCTACTGTTCGGCTGCCAAATGGTAGGCGGTCAGGGTTCACGGTTGGCAGCTATGCAACCCTGCCCAGGACTGAAAAAATCACTTGGCTGAATTGCAAATTAGTTGAAATCACACCACAGGGCCTAGACAACATTGGTGATCTGCACCAACTGGCCCAGCTCAGTTGGTACACCCATGAAGTGTTGAAATACAGACCTGAGTTTGAAACCCAGTGGAACCAGGTGAATGAAATTAACTACTGGTGAATTTCCTGGGGCCACTGAGTTCGGCAATGATATCTCACAACCACCACTTCCTCCGAGCCTCCATTTGAAAAAAAAAACCCGGAAAAAAAGCACAAAGAAATGGGCGATCTGCGAACGAGTGCCAGGCTAGGTTTTGGACTTGGAATATCATCTGGGAAACGCGCGAATCGTTGGCCACTTTTTTTTTCATTTTTTTTCTTCAATAAAACAGGACGTTACGATCCTGGCTCCTTTTCCATTCTGGGGAACGTCATTCCGGTTCCTATTCCACCGGCAAGTCTGAATAAGCATTACAACAATAACGCACTCACACTTCCTTCCGTCTGGCCGAAGGACCCCTGAACAGCATTCATTACTCCAACATAGTGGAGGATTGACTGTCAGCTTGCCCTGTTTTTCTCTTTCCTCTCAGGTCTGTTAGCTAACCTGCCAGATATATCGTGGAAAACTAGAAAGAGCTGAGCAGCTACTCAAGCTGACCGTTGTAACCTCTCCTTGAAAACCTGCCCGTATGCCTTGCCTCTCCTTAAATCTATTTACAAAGCAGTCCCAAAACCCTAAACCTTAAACCCTCTTGAAGTTTTGCATGGAATCCTCTGAAGAGTCTGAACCATCTTAGCCCGTCAGCTCATATGGCCTGCAGTGGGACTTGTTCATTTGGTACCTGGAGCACTTGTCTTTTCCACCCCGTATCAGAATTTAGCCGGTCTTTCCATCGTATATGGATGTCAGTCAGTGTTGCCACCTTGCCTCCTACCATCCATTCTGTGAAGAATTTTCTTTTAATTCCTCCTCTACTGTTCTTCATTGTCAGGCATGGGCTAACTCGTTTTGTACCATATACCAAGGATCTCTGCTTGACTCAAAGTTCTTGCCTCCTCCCGTACCTTCTCATCGTTGGTCACATTTTGCATGAGTCCAAATTGTTGCTCACAGCAATGAGGATCATCTCTGTGATCCCCGTTCCTCAAATTTTGTTGCCATAATCTCCAGCCTCTGTGGCCTGGCTGCTACTAATACTCGCCTGCATTTCAGAAATGTCAGCAGAGGAATTTCCGATGCTCCAAAAGACACCAAATTCGGCACACAGCAGCCTTGAACCAAAACAAACCAGGCAACAAATGAAAATTAAAAAAGCGTATAATTTTAATTTGACCCCCAAACCCTAATTTCTGTTTTGGACCCGTTAACCCAAGAGCTGAAAAGTGGGGGTCCCCGTTCGCCACTTGTGCTTGGAGCACAGTTTGACCTTCTGTTGGTCTGCTTCAGTACCTGGGTATCGCACTCGCCCGTATTTTTATTTAAGATTGCAGTGTTGCAGCCCCTGAAGGTTGGCGGCCCTTGGCTGGTCGGTTGCCGACCCGCTGACCGATCGGCTGGTCGGCACCATACCGGTCGGGGTCGTCGGCAACCCGCAAAAAAAAAAAAGGAAAAAAAAAAGGGTCCAGCCCCCAACTCAGATTCGAAAAGAAATCAGTGGATGGTTGTTTTCTGACTGGTCGGCAGACCGCCGACCAGTCGGCCCTACTGGTCGGCTGCAATACGGTTGGCGGTCGGGGTCAGCGGTCGGCAGGGATGCAAGCCTGTAAGATTGTTTGAATCTAAAGGCAATATCCGCATCCTTTCCCAGGGGGAAGTAATCAATGCCGTCCACTCGGGCCTCCCAGCCATAATGGGGCGGAGCGTGGTGTGGGTGAAACATTGTATTTGGCGGACTTGCCGATGGAAAGGAACCGGACTGACGCTTCCCAGAATGGACATGGAGCCAGAACCATAAGGTTCTGTTTCGAGTCTTTCGACCCAAAAAAAAAAAAAGAAAAAAGAAGGAAATATCCGCAAATGTGCTGACCACAGCACCGGCAGTTAAACAACCAAGATACCATTGATTTGCATTCCCCCCCCCCCCCTTTGAAGTAACTCTCGGATGCCTGCGCTTTTCTGACATCTGGCAGGTTGTGAAGATTGTACGTGCAGAAGCTGATGATGTGATTGCCACGCTGGCTGAGCAAGCTCTAGGCATGGGCTTACATGTTGTTGTGGCATCTCCAGGTACGGTTATTGCAAGGAAAATGAGCGATAACGAAATGACAGAATTCCAGATTGCAAAATCACATTGAAGGCCAGATAGTTGAAAACTGTCCAGAAAGCAGAATTGGACTGATGGCACACGGAAGGAGAACCAAAGCAGCGAAGTCAATTGTCAATGAAGGCATACTCTCGCCACCACCAACAATATTATCGAAGCTCTTCCTCCCCCCACTGGCGCTCAGCGCCCAGCCTACGATCCTACAGCTACTACCTATACTATGAAATGACAATGCAACCAGTTGATGTCAGCACCAGCAGCAACCGAAGTGCATGCAGATGTTGAACATCCAGATCTCCGCCAAAACCAGGTACGTGCCCTCACATCATCTCCCTCATCTCTCCCTCTCATGCTCATCCTCAACTTCTGCTCCCACGTCCTACCTCCTACCAAGGACCACCGCCATTCCCCGCTGGCCTTCGTCAGAGCCAAGCCCGGCTATGGAGAGTTTGGCTATGGCGCTGCCTACTTGCAGTGCCCTGCTTCCACAGACGCCCGCGTGCGCCCAAGCCCTTGTGCTAGCGCAGCAGCGCGCGAGCACTCGCTCCAGCAGCGCTGCTGCATGCGCGTGCAAGTGGCCCAATGCCCTGCCCGCTGCCTTCCCCTTTCCTAAATGGAAAGCGGGCAGGCTCACTTCCTGCCTGGCTGGGGCGCACGCGTTTCCAGTAGCTTCCAGTCGGGCCAAAGTGGCTGCAACCAGGCCCGCTCAGACAGTGGCCTGGGACCGAATTGGTTGAGCATGCCGACCACGCAGGCGCAAGGCAAGTAATTCTGATTCTCACGAGCAAGGCAAATATAACCAACTGGCGCGTGGTAACTGTCTGACGACCACAAAAGCTTTGCAAAATTGACGAACTCAGGCCTCGTTGGAATTCAGGGGTCCGCCTTCACGTAGGGCGGGCTCTGTAAGAGCCCCTCACGGGCATGCTGAGGATGCAAATCTGCGCATTATTATTTAATATTTATTTATTATTATTCTCAATATTTTGTCATTTTTATTATTTTGTTTTATTACTTACCTATCTATTCCTCAGGTCTTTTGATCAGTCAGCACCCAAGGATGTCCTCCTCACATATTGCCTATCCCGACTCTCTTCCTCTTCTTCTTCTTCTTCTTCTTCTTCTTCTTCTTCTTCTTGTTTCCAGGTGTCTCTTCCTAGGCACCTAAACATTCAGGCTAGAGGAATGAAGTGCAGTGAGAAACGCTGGACATGACGAAGTGGGGTAGCAATTCAGACATCTCAAGGCCCCATGTGGGTATGAGAGAAGGTTCAAAGTTCCGAGTCCTACCGTCTTCACCCGAATAGAACGGCCGGTCATTATAAGCTGTATTCGGCACAACTTTCAGCCCAGATACGGTGATAATTACCGGCGTTCTATTCGGGTGAAGACGGTAGGTTGCTGTTGCATTCATGCTCCTATCAGGAAGACACCGTTAACTTGTGTAAGTACACTGCAAGAACTGGGGGGTTTAAAATTTATATATACAAGCGGATGCCCACCAGGGCTATGCCGCGGCTCATCTGGTGGAACAATGCAGGCCGGGCCATACCATGTGGGGTAGATGCTACTTATACTCACTCAAAAACAAAAAGAAGAACTTAGACACGACCACCCCCTTAAAAAAAAAAAGAGAAAGAAACATGCAGGCAAGTTCAGGCACAACCCGGCCTTTGGCAAGGCAAGGCAGTACTACGAAGGATGAGCGGTATTATGTGACCATACCCATCGGCCTTACTACATGGGGTGAGTCACACCTTGCGGACGGGCCGTTCAACATTAGGCAGGTGGTACTATGGGCAGCACGGTAATATGTGGCCTGGGTGATACTAAGTCGGTCGGGTTGCACTATGAGGGAGGGTCATACCATGTGGACCGGGTTGTAGTATGTGGGCTGGGTGCTATTTTGGATGGCACTATGTGGACCGACCGATATAGTGTGGGGTAGATGGGCAACACTGAACAGAAAAAAAAAATCCGCCGCCCCAGGCGGGCCCCATCTCGAGTCCCCGAACTTTTCAGAGAGGCTTATTCGTGATTCTCCAGATGAGTAGTGTAGTTTAAATGAGCACCAGCAAGGTTGTATTGGCCATTTGTGGAGATGATCGCCCAGCAAAAGAACTTTGCTGGATTGTCAAAACTTCGCTGGATGAAACTGACTGATCCAGGGAAGTTTTTATCTGCGTTGACCTAGAGTGCAAGGAAAATGAGCAATAGCGAAATGACAGAATTTCAGATTGCACAATCATGTTGAAAGCCAGATAGTCGAAAACTGTCTAGAAAGCAGAAATTCCACTGATGTCAAACCGAAGGAGAACCAAAGCAGCAAACTCAATTGTCAATGAAAGCATTCCCTAGCCACCACCAACAATGTACTCGAAGCTCTTCCTCCTACTGGCGCTCAGCGCCCAGACTACGTGCCTACAGCCACTACCCTAGCCTACAGAAACGACGAAGCAACAAGTTGACGTCAGCAGCAGCAACCAAAGTACATGAAGATGTCGACCATGCGGACCTCCGCCCGGACCAGGTACGTGCTCTCACATCACCCCCCCACACTCGCCCTCTCTATGCTCACCCTCATCTTCCTCCCCACGCTCCTCCAACCAAGGACCACCGCCTAACCCCGCTCACCTCCCGAAGCTCCAGCCAGGCTATGGGGGCTGAGCTATGGCGCTGCTCACAAGCAGCACCCACCTCCTAGCGACCGTGCTCACTCAAGCACCCCAGCGCCAGCTACGACGACTCGGAGCGCACTGTAGAGCAGCGCTGCTGCATCTACACGCGAGTGCCCGAATGTCCTCACTCTCGGCCAGGCACTTTGCTTTATGCAAAGTGGCCTGGCCTGCATATGCCCAGTAGCTTCAGGTTGGGCCAAGTGTCTGCACCCAGGCCCATTCAGACAGTGCACTGGGACCAAATTGGTTAGGCGTGCCAACCACCCAAGCACAAACGTGAGGTGTACCTTGCTTCCACTGCGAGCCTAGAAGGCTCACAAATGTTTCTGATTCTCACGAGCAGGGCGGATGTAACCAACTGGCGCATGGCAAACTGTCTGGCGCCCACCTAGGCTTTGCACAAGTGAAGAATTCAGGCCTCATTGAGATTTGCAGGCCCGCGTTCACTTAGGGTGTGGGCATATGCTTGCTTCAGGGGCCACATGCATGTACGCCGAGGGCTAAAATCCTCGCGTAGAGTGGAATGTTATTGAAATTCTTAAGTTTTTTGAGTTTTCTGAATTCAAGGTCTAGGGGTGGAAAGAGAAAAAGGAGGGATTTAGGGATTTCGTGAAGCAGATGCATGCAGTCATCAACCTAACATGCGAAGAGAAGTGGTAAGGAGACCTATTGCTTTCCCGGGTTTGGTCGTTTGTTCGAAAGTGTGGATTTTTCTTCGGAGAATAAAAAACAAACGATGAAAGGAAAACGATGGTGGTGACTGCCCCTGATGGATCGTAGTTTGCTGTGCGTTGGTCTTGGACTCGATGAACAACTTCTTAACTATCGGGTGCACGCCTGGGCTGCGCTGGCAAGGGAGGTACTGCCCGGGGAAACCGAGCACATAAAAAAAGAGGCAAGGATCAGTATAAAAAACAAAAAGGGAAATCTGACCCAGGCCAGGACTGCGCTTAGCCTGAGCTGTGATTGGTCACCCATGGAGGGGGTTGGGTGTTATAAACAGGGTTCAAAGGGGTTCAAGGGGTTTCAAGGGGTGTATCTTAAGATTCTTAACTCTTGTTTTCTATTTTATTTCTAGGGGTGACCACGTTTCAGTCTCACACTCGGGTTTCCGAAAGGCAAAAAACTCGAAAAAAAAACAAGAAAATGCGATTCAAAGTTCAAACAGAGCGCGGCTTTCGGAACAGGTGGGTCAAACTCGCTCCGTGTTTGAATCGCCATTTAATCTGAGTGGGGATCCGGGCCGCCCGGGTGACCGGCAGGGGCCCAGGGGAGGTCCCGGGCGGCCTGGCCGGGCAGGGCACCCGGTTGGGGGCCGGGCCCTCCCAGCGCACTCACCTGTCGGGGGATTTCGGACCCCCTTTGTGTGTGTGTGTGTGTGTGTGTGTGTGTGTGTGTGTGTGTGTGTGTGTGTGTGTGAGAGAGAGAGAGAGAGAGATGTGTTCGAATCATATGCGAGGCACAATGCCTCGAAAAGCCCTACTGGGCCCCTATTTGCAACAGCGTCGGCCGCCCTAACTGAAGGCAGGCTCGACAGACCCCAAGAGGCCTATTTTGGACTACTACGCAACTGGGGAAATTCAGGCAGTTGCACAGCGCCAGTGGGTTGGAAGCACCCAGGCCCAGGCTGCCTTTCATTGCACGTAACTGAGGCAAGGCCTGGGCCGGATACACAAAGTGGACCGAACAGAGGCTGAGGGCAGTTGGGTGCTGGTAACCGCCTCAGGCCCTGGGCCTGTTTCCTTCGGTCTGAGGCTCAGCCTCCCTGGGCCTACCGGAAGCTTCTGGGCCGGGGCCCAGTACCGCAGCACAGCACGCAGCAGCAGGCCACTTCGATATAGGGAAGGGCCTGCCCACGCATTGGACATTCGGGCACTGGCTGCTTTGTGCGCAAGCACTGCTGCGCTATCGCCTGCCAGGCTCACGCGCTCACGGGCGAGCTGGAAGGAGCAGGCAGCCATAGCCGAGCTGCGCTGCTGTATGCTGCATGGGGCGCATGGTGGTCCTTGGGTGCAAGTGGCATCTGTGAGTTGGGGAACGAGGTTGTGAGTGATACGAGAGACATACCTGGTGTTTGAAGCGTACGGCATTGGCCGAGATCTGCTCGTACTTCGGGGAGCTGTTGACGTCATCAGCGGCATTGTAGAGTAGGCTAGATAGGATCTGCCATCTGTAGTCTGGGCGCCGAGCGCCAGATAGGATATCAACATTGGTTCTTTGTTGATGATGATGATGAGACTATTCCAGCATTGTCAATTATGAGCTTTTGGTGTGCTCTTATTTGGTGAAAATCGTGATGCAATTCTGCTTTTGGTTCGAGGTCACAACTATCTGGTCTTATGTGTATGATGCTGTTTGATTGCTGAAGTTCGCTATTGCTCATCTTCCTTGCACATACTCGCGGCGCATCTCATGCGTGGGGGTGCCGCACGCCCATGCACGCACGCACAAGTGATGCGGCGAATTAAAAAAGTACAAAAATAAAAACGTCCTAGTTGTGTCCAGCCTTTTTTCGGAAGGATCCGTACAGCATATTAGCTAGGACCCGACGTCATGCTGAGATACACTTCAAACTTGTACTCCGTGAGGGTGGGCAGAGAATATATAATTCAGGTCTGTGCATCTCGGTTATGGGTCACTATTTCTCTGTTTTCTCGCTTTTCTTTTCTTTTCTCGTTTTTCTTTTCTTAGGAATACGTGCAGTGGCCCTCTACTGACCAAACGCACAAAAGACAAAACATATGGTGGCGTATTATTCCACGTTCTGCAGAAGATTCATTCTAATTTTTCACATTTCGTGAGTAGTGCAGCCAAGCCCTAAGAGTCACGTGCAGAGACCAACAGGGCCTAGCTACGTGAGCAACCCATAACTGCTGAAACACAGCACTGAATTCGAATCTTGAGTATATAATACTATATATTCGCCCAGCTCGTGCTCTACTTCATATTCACTGCCTGCCTCGATTTTGGTGGGGGGGTCTGCGGTACATGGCTGCGAGGACCCTTCAGATAGCCTGCATGGGCCGTCTGAGCCGTGTTAAGGGGATCCGTTCGTTCTCTCTCTCTCTCTCTCTCTCTCTCTCTCTCTCTCT